TAGCTCGGTAGACAAAATAAAGAGTTCAGTTCGAAATAGCAATCACCTGAAGAATGCCGGAGCGTACAACGGCCAAAACGTCGTTAATGTGGCAACAAAGATGAGGACAAAAGCCGGAACAATTTAAATAGTGTAAATAAGTATCATTTTGCTGCCATTTTTTCTTAAGACTTCTTCGTTGCTTACGCGTTCCATGGGCGGTATTCGCAGCATCCTTCTGTAGAACCACATTTTTGTAGCCTCCAGATTTCCAGCATTTACTGACATACCAGAAGATTGATATTACACATTTCATACCCTGTCGGCTGGGGCCTCAGAATACGATGACCGAAACACTGCAGATGAATAAGAAAAGTGGTGTCCTGGGTATGACGATAAACTACATCCGCGTCCTGGGTAAGACGATAAACTACCTCCAACAGCAAGGCCTCCGATCAGGAGATTTTGAGGAGCGTGGAACCACCTCTTAATTGCTGGAGTTTCCAGGTCCACACTGACCCTGAGTGGTAGCACTTGTTAGGGTCCCAGCTATGGGCAAATAGTTAACACCCAAACTTGGGTCAAAACACTATGAAAGTGTAAAAATAGGTTTTAATATCAGCAATATATTTTCGAAGAAAAAAATAATTACCAGTAATAAAAATCTTGTCAGCATTAAATAATCCTATGTGACATGTTTCCTCCTTCGAAAGGACTTCTTCGGACCAAATAATATTATTTTATTTTTTACAGTCATACTTGTTCAAAACTGTTTATTTACATTTGTTCAACACTTTACTTACATTTTAAGCCAATTTAATCTCTTAAGAGCTCAAAATGCCCTCCTTCATCATTGTAACATTTCTCGAACCTCTCCAGCGAATTCGATTGGAATTGGAACTCGATTCTCCGATGAACAATCCCGAGCCATTAACTATGACACAACCTCCACATCCATGCTGACAGTCCCTGCTAATCTAAAGCGGCTACAACACAGCACGACTCTAATCCCTATCTGCATCAATTTCAATAAATACATCTGAGATGTACTCTTTTAATTCGTTCACTGTGTAGGGATTTTTTCTCATAAACCTTGTTCTTTACCTACAACCCCCTCAAAAAGAAAGAGAACCATTGGGGTTAGGGCAGTTGAACGTGGTGGCCACTCGATGCTGCCCCTTCTTCCGAAAAAACACTGTCGAAAGGTCTGGCAAAAATAGTCCCTTACTGCCAAAGCATACTAATATATATTGTGTATCTGGGCAGAAATCTCTCTTTAATAAGTTTCGTTAAAGGCGATTGAAAAGCTACTGCGATTAAGATTTTTATTTAATTAAAATTTTATTCTTGTGTTCGTACAAGTATTATCTTTTCTGGACACAAAGTGTGTAAAAACAGTCCAAAAGTTCTGCATATCCGAGCGCTTTCGGCTATTCTTTTAGCTATTATCAAGGATGATGTTTATTTTTAAGTGAATGTGTATCTTTATGAATATATCTGAAATTATAGGAATGTTTTATTTTCCAAACACACACACACACACACACACACACACACACACACACACACACACACACACACATATATATATATATATATATATATATATATATATATATATATATATATATATGTATGTATGTATGTATATGTACATACAAATATAGATAACTATACTCGTTTCGAAAAACCCTCGAATTTTTTGATTTGCCAATAATCAAATCAATCTCGAAGAAAAAAAGGTTTTAAAAAAGAAAGAGCTACAAACATGAAAGTCTGTCGCGAAAAAATCGCACAGATGCAGGTCTGAAACCCAAAGCAAAAACCCTGATACGAGTAAACAACTAACTAACAAAAGAGCTCAATACAACCGTAGAGCAGACCTAGATACACCTAGTGAGCCAGACAAACCTACCTAGGTTTCACCTAAACGGATCGTCAGGGAAAGTCGGCCTATATATATGTATGTATATAAATGGTGGTCCTCGTTTGGAAAAAACCTCGCATAGCTCGACTTGCAGTAGAACAAATCGGTACACGAGGAAAAATGGGAAATAAAAAAAGAAAGAATGAAGAACATTAAAACAAGGCGAAAACAATCGTCCAGTGTTTAATCTCCAAGTCCAGGCTTTACTCTGAAGATCCGTTTAGTTGAAACCTAGGTAGGTTTGCCTGGCTCCTTAGGATTATCTTATATATGTATGTATGTATAAAACTTGTCTAGTAAGTAGCTCCTATATTTTCTTCAATATATGTTGAGTTGGACACCGGGAATATTATGAGATCTTCTGAAAGATTTGTTCGTTCGTGCAAATGAGTTTCAATGAAAAAGAAACGAAGTCATAAATACGACGGTTTTTAATAAAGTGATGGCCAAAATTAGGTTTATACTTAGTGGGTTTGAATTTTACATATTTAAAAACATTTTATTACATTTACATTTATTTGTTACAATCATATTTGTTCAAAACTGTTTATATATATATTTGTTTAACACTTTACTTAGATATTTTTAGCGCAGTTTCATCTCTTAAATGCTCAAAATACCCTCCTTCATCATTGCAATATTCCTCGAACCTCTCCAGAACCCCATGTCACGCAGAACGACTTGAAACCTGATATCTGTCTATATCTCTGAGATGATGTATTATGATTACTTGCATTATTTACATTACTCAGTAATAAAAAATCTTGTCGGCATTAAATGATTCATTGAGTTTGATATGCCGTAAAACAAAACAAACCTAACCCTACATAACATTTCATCAATCTTTCCAATTTGTTTCTAAAGAAATTTTCTGTTTTTTTAGTTCTTTACTTGGCTTTTTTAAAGCCTTTTTTTTTTTTTTTTGCTATCCACGTTCGTATTTCAGTGTCACATTTGGCATCCTGCGTAAAAAAAAAAAAAAAATCGGCCAAAAATGTAGCTCATTTCATCCGAAAAATATTCACCTCACCAACTCACTCGCAGAGATGTATTTAAGTTCTATCAAACTATTTTTACATAACTTCATTTTTCACGACGTCTTGAGTACGAAATAAATAACCAGAGCAAATGAAAACTAAAAGAAAATGCAGTTTTTCAAAATTTAAAATTACAGTGTCATTATGTGTTTATTTAAATTTTCTTCTTCACGGATATATTTATAAATTTCTGAATAAAAATATTATTTTCATATCCATTTCTTCATAAAATTGTAAATAGTAAATATCTCATTATAGTTTGTAGGCATACACTTTTAAATTTAAACTAATTCTTGTAAATAAGCGATCTAATAAATAAATAGTAGCAAATAACTTTGTTGTCAATGCGGAAGAAGAAAGAAAATGCATAATCCACTTTTATATGTTTGGGTGGGTTAATTTGCAGTTTAGTACCCGCGTTCAATTCGAATTAAAAATTTCCAGAATGCTTACATTTAGGTGTAATTGTACACGCTTCATTCGAATCTGGCTTGATAAATTTGTTAAGATCTACCGTTTTGGAGTTATTGACAGTAAAAGTTCGGATTCATTCGCGTCGTTGCCAGCAGCCATTACTGGCGTTGTTTGCATACATTCGCTGCGGAAAGCAGAAGAACGTAGTTAACGGCCTTGTTTTTAGTGATCTTACTCGTCTCAACTTGCCTCAGTTACTGCGCAAGAGAACTATATTACGTGCGCCATAATCAAGACAAGTTAATATTCCACTCATAGCTATTCCGCAGCGATTGTAAGCAAACAATGTTAGTAACGGCTGCCAGTGACGCGAATGAATCGAAAATTTACTGTCGATAGCGTCAAAACGGTAGATTTCGTCAAATTTATTAAGCCACATTCGAATAAAGCATCTACAGTTACACTTAAATGTAAGCATTCTGGAATTTTTTTAATACAAACTGAGCGCGGGTGCTAAACTGCAAATTAACCGTTTCGGGTTTATTAAGATTCTAATAATCGTTTTTTTTTTTTGTTTTTGTTTGTTTTTTTTTACAAGAAATATTGCCGTAGGAGTCAAAAGTGTGACTCATTTCCCACTTATTGATTGATTCGTTTTCTACAGCTTATTAACCACTAGCAGCATGACCCGGCGTTGCCCGGGCTTGATTCAAAAATCGTACGACTCATACAGCAGTCGCTATCACGTGACTTAAAATATTTTTGCCCTTCCTTGCCTTTAAAGGAGTGCCATTTGCCATGCTGATGTTGCTACATGCCTTACTTCTTGCCTATCTCACACTGAGAATTTTTTCTAAGCTCTATACTAAACATTAAATTTGTTACGAAAAAAGAACTAAACAAAATGAACACAAAACGACCAGCTTTAAAAAAAGAACTCGTAACTGGAAAAAAACGAATGAAAAAAGAATCAACGTTGAGTTTAAGCAAGCGAATGAGCCAACTGGAGTAAAGTGCCATGCAGATTTAAATTTTTCCCACTTGTGACGAATGCAGCTATTTTTTTTTATTTTTTTTTGCATAGTAGCATGCTAGTTAACATTCGTGTCAGTCAGTTGTTGGCTCTCAGATGCTGGCCAATAGAATCTTCCTGCCTATTCGTGGCAGCCAGCTAGAGGCTTGCAATCTGGCCAGTCGAAAATGGCCGCAAACTACATGAAAACTGCCGTAGAAACATGAAAAAATGGATTATTTCCACTATCGATGGGAGTTGGGAAATGCAAAGTCGGCCTTAGCCTTCACGCTAACTTGGAGCATGTGCATGTAAATTTTGGTGCAAATCCGTCGAAAGTTACAGCCGTGCATTCGTTACACACACACACACACACACACACATCCTGCCTTTTATAGAGATTTATAGGTTATTTAAGGGCAGAAAATATTTTTAGATTCTGAGAGATTTTGTAAATGGGGTAGATAATAATGATTTAGTGATACAAGTCTTACTTATTAACCAACATCTGGGGCGAGAAGAGATGGTATTTGCACGAAAGGGAATACGACGACCACAACTGGAATTAGAACTTGGTTCTCCAATTAACAATTCCGCGACATTATCCATTACACTACCCTGCAAATCCAAGCTTACGGTACCTGGTACCCCCAAGTGGTCACGCATCTTGGTACTGACCAGGCTCGACGTTGCATAACTTTAGTGATCGTATGGAAATAGGTCTTTCAACGTGATATGTTCATAAGCTTCCCCATCTGTTGCGCAGGGGTAGATATCTATCTCTTGTTTCTAGTTTGTGTTTCTAGTCTTCTTATTCTCTTTCACACCGAGGGAGTCGAAGGTGTATACAGTGATAGCGGTGTCAAGGGAATAACCGTCCTTTTGATACGCTGTTTATTTGCCGATACGTAGGTTAAACATTGCCAAACTACTATTTAGATTCAATGTATTCAACAGACCGTTCAATGAACACTAACATAAATACACGGTGATTATGATTAAATACCGTGAGAAAAACTGAAAACGCAGGGACGCTTAATTTTAGTTTTGAACTCCCTCTCTTTTACAAATACAGCGTGGGCCAAAAGTGGGCTTACAATTGTTTCACTAGTTGTTTCACGTTTTAGATGTCATTTATGCAAATCATGATTCAAAACATGTCTCCCATATCCTTTATTCACATTTTGGAAATGTCATTATGCCATCTCCTCGGATTTCGGTTTCAAATTTTATGGTCGTTTCTTTCTTTTAATTTTTCCCAGGGATTGTAAGCAATGGCAAACAATTTAAATCAGTGGATTTCATTTTGGTGGGTGTAGTAAAGAACAAATTTTATGAGAGAAATCCCCACACAGTAGACGAAGTAATAGACTACATCCCGGAAGTATTTATTGAAATTGATGCAGATCGAGCCAGTACTATTAGTGCGAGTGACATTCGAATGCATCTATATATATATATATATATATATATATATATATATAGTTACAAATACAAGAACAGTGCGTGTCTTTGTCTCTGAGATGAGCTAATATGATTACTTGCATTATTTACATTACTCGGACTGTTATCCTCATCTTCATTGCGATATTCACGACGTTTCGGCGGTTGTACGCTCCGGCCTTCGTCAGTTGATTGGAATTTCGAACCGAACCCTTCATTTCGTCCACCTGGATAGATTGTTCTAGTTCCACGCGCCATGCCTCTTTCGGATATCTCAGTTATTTCTCTTTAACTCAGCTCTCCATGTTTTAGTTAACCACTGCCTGGTATTGACATCACCCCCTTGCTTCTTGTTACTGGATTTAACCAACGTCTTTATCCACAGGGCCATGTGGATAAAAAAGAAACGTTGGTTAGATTCAGTTTTTATCCTGTGTCCTTGAGCAATGTAAATAATGCAAGTAATCATGATGCCACATCTCAGAGATATAGACAGATATGGGGATTTGAGTCCTAGTGTTCTCGAGAGGGTCGAGGAATGTTGCAAAGTTGAAGGAAGAGATTTTGAGCACTTGGGAGATTAAACTGTACTAAAATTGTAAGTAAAGTGTTAAAAAAATGTATATAAACAGTTTTGAGCAAGTATGATTGTAACAAATAAAATACTATTATTTAGTCTGAAGAAGTCCTTTCGAAGGTGGAAACACATCACATGGGATTTTTTTTCATTTTGCCATTCAATTAGTCTAAAGAAAATAAATTCAAAGCAAGGCAAGAATTAATGAGAGACTCGATTTTAGAATTAATTGCACGCTTTTTATTACGCCAAACGTTTGTTAATATTGCAAGACACTGACACTACACTGTAATTATATTTCGACTTAGCACTTAACCGGTATAAATTCAAGATAATTATGTCCTCGCCTCTAACGTGATTTTCTCGATTATGTTGAAGCAGAAAAGAGACGAGGACATGAATTAAACATTTCTTGTCTGTGAAAGAAACTCCTTCAAGAATAAGGTTCCATCTGAAAATGCAGTCAAAAAAAGGCAAGTGATTTCTCTTCCATTGTCTAGAAAATGCCTAGCTGGTTGCTGTGTGGCTAGGCTGAACTACCGTAATTATTCCTGTATAAAACGCACTCCGGAATAATTTATTTTTAAACTCACAAGAGATACCGAAGCCGTGTCAGAGAGAAACAACGGGTAACATATCTAGACGAGCCTGCTCAAATGGATGGCAGAACAGGGACTGGGTGGGGGATAGTGAGAAGACGAACTTTACTTACAACTGAAAATTATATTCACATTGCCATGATTTCCCGCCCACGTCCTGAAGGGACACGCTACATAAAAGAAGATATAACCAATAACAAGTCCAATTATAATTCCCGACTACTTTCGAACACACCAACTTATACATCTTTGGAAAAATATCTTCTTTAAAAGAAAAGAGGGCGTGCAGATAAATCTATTGAAGCCCAAAAATGCAGAAATAGTATCCAGATCCATGAAATTGAAATAAATTAGGGTTTAAGAAAACTTTCAATGTAACTGTTTTATATTGTACCTATGAACACTAATGGGTATGTCCCAATCCTCATAAATACGTTGGACACTGTTGTAAGTGGGGGTGAATATGCTGTCTACGCTGGCAGCGTGGAGAGATCTTGCCGTGCCGAACTCTTTACCTTCGGGCAGAGAGGAACCCGGACGAGGCTATACCGAAGGACAGAGTCTCGTCCGGGGAGGTAGACAGATAACTGATCCCACGTATGCGGGGTCTACTGGCAATTTTTTGCCCGAGACCACGGGCTCAGATTTCCCCACATTAAGTTTGGCCTTGTGTCACATCCTACCTCGTGGGGATGCAAGAAAATATCGTAATATGCTCTCTAAATAGTCCACCTCTAACAGTGGTTTACCTACTTCACGCCGCTGGCGAGCATTGTATTTTGTTGATGTTATAAAGATTACCATTTCATTTCGAACCTTAATTTTCGTTATTCCTCATTCAGTAATCTGTTCTAGGTTAATAACCATCGCTAAATCTTTAGCAAATTTTCTCAAAATCTTTTCGCAATATATTACTGTCTTTTTTTCTATTAAAAACAAACATCTACTGTTTTTGAGTGCTTCCGGCCATATCACTTTGTAAAACCGGTTCTCATACGATTACCGTCAGTACCTAGATGTGTGACCGCTTGGGAATACCAAGTGCTGTAATCTCAGATGTGCAGGTGGTGTAATGGATAATGTTTCTGAATTTAAAACCAGTGAACCGGGTTTTAATTCCATTAGGGTACGTCATATTCACTTACGCACAAATCGCCTTGGGAAAAATATGAAAAAAAATCGTATCTCCCCAGCTATGGGTAAATCTGTAGGACTTATTAATAAGTAAATAATTAATTAGTAAATCATGGATTATACGCTCAAAATTCTCACAATCTAAAAATATTTTCTGTCGTTAAGCTGCAAAAGCTTAATAAGGTCTAGAAAAACAAATTAATCATTCATTCCTCATTCAGCAACCCTTACAACAGTAATTATAAATATAAATATCTTTTAATCATTTCACCGAAGGCAAGCCTATAAAGCCACTAAGATTCAATAGGTTACTGAAATTGAAAGAAACGCTAAAATTCATCCCTTCCAATCCTCGTTGTAAAACCTAGCATCTGAAAGGGGCATTATATCAATAAAACTTCACTCATGTTGGTAATATTAGCACACTTAATGATGGAATCGCCGTAGGATCACCAGACTCGTTCATAAATATCTAAACTGCCAGCGATAGGCAACCCCTTCCTCAGATCAATGGTAAAAGGTGACTTCGAGCAAACGACGTCTGTAGGTCTGTAGGTCATCCTTCCAAAAATTAGTAGGACTTATAGCAGTAAAAATAATTACTCAATCATTATTGTCTATAAAAATTAGTAGAACTTATATCAGTAAAAATCATTATTATCTCCAAAAATTAGTAGGACTACTATCAGTAAAAATAATTACTATCTCCAAAAATTACTAGAAATTATATCAATAAAAATCATTATTGTCTTCAAAAATTAGTAGGATTATATCAGTAAAAATCATATTAAAAAATTAGTAGAACTTATACAAGTAAAAAGCATTATCATCTTCAAAAATTAGTAGGACTTATGTCAGTAAAAATCTTTATTATTTTCAAAAAATTAGTAGGACTTATATCAATAAAAATCATTATCTTCAAAAATTATTAGGACTCATATCAATAAAAATCATTATTATCTTCTAAAACTTCTGACAATTAAAAAATATTCTCTGACACCAAATGTTGATAAACCGTAAAAAAATCAATGAATCAGTCAGAATACTTTAAAATGGGTCAAGAAAAAGCCAGAATCAGCATTGGAAAGAGCAATAAGTGTTAGTGGATTGAAAAACCTATCTTCCTGATAAAATTATTTAATAGAAAAAATTATAAATTCCAATCATCAATAGTACTAGCTGCTCCGTCAATGAATGCCAAATATTTTCTTATAAAGAAAACGGCTAATATTAACATTATCATAAGAGTAGATGAGAACAGACAGTACGCTTTAATACCAGCTATGTGGCCAGAGAGTGAATAAAACCTTCACTCGTTGCAATATCTCAAAGAATACCGAATCTTTTCTGATAAGGGAAAAGATAATATTATAATTACTATTAACATTATGATCTGATCATCTTTAAGTTGGCTCCCTGTGCCGCGCCAGGACATTTTTCTTGATAAGATCCAGAGACGAATATGCAATATAATTGACCCTGATCTGCCATCTCGTCTACAGTCGCTCTCTCACAGACGCGCCGTCGCCTCTCTCTGTCTTTTTTACAAATACTTTCATGGTAATTGCTCCGAGGAGCTGCATTCGCTGGTTCCCAGACTTCATGAATTCAAGCGCCCTACGTGGCTGGCATCCCGCTTTCACCCTTTTCACTGTTGAAACCACTAAATGTAGCCGTCTCTTCTACTCCAATAGCTTCATATCTCGCACCTCTCGCCTGTGGAACTCCCTTCCCTTTTCACGTTTCCCTGATAGCTATAATATCCAACTATTCAAATGTAATGTCAATCGACATCTCCAGTTGCCTTGATCTATCCACTATCCTTCTTCTCATCCTTTCCTCTATCACTCCTATCTGCTCTCGCTCAAAATCCTATGTAACCCCTTGCGTGCTTGTTTGTGGCTTCCAGCCTTGCTTCGGGTGAAATGCTTATATATATATATATATATATATATATATATATATATATATATATATATATATATACTA